AGGAACTGGCTGCTTAATAAACATTTGTGAGTGTATCTCAGGCTGACTCTCTGTCTGAGATGCAGACGTTGACTGGGTGACTGGGGATTTTGGTGGAGCGGCTGAAGCAACAGGTTTTTCAGTCTTGATCCAAGTCGGTTTGACAAGATACAGATGATGTTGTCATAGATCGAGGCACTGCAGCAGAATAAGTTATCATCGATGGAGTTGTTGACTGTGTTGTAAATAGCGTCTTTGCCTCCAAGTAAGATATGTTATTATGGCATTTCAATTTCATGATGTTAGATTCTTGTTGCCATACAGGGCAAGATTTTGATGATGCGGCATTGGTGCCATCGCTATTACAGCATCTGAAGTCTTTCTTGCAGGCAGAGCTCTCGTGGTTGTCACCACATCGATAACAAACCACAGAGTTTCGACATGAGTTGGAACCATTGCCGAATCGTTGACATTTGTACAGTCCGTTTGAGTCAGAAACGGACCGATGAATTGCAAATTTTATCATTGTACAAAATTGCCACAGAAATAAAAATAGTACACATGTTTATCATTTACTAATACCCAACAGCTTTCTTATATTTGAACATTTTCCGGACTCCACCAATAAAGTTGTTTAAGAAACTATCATCATTGAAACGCAAAAGTTGTTATCTGTCGCGTCGGGGTGAAACCGCAGAAACGGAACAGCCAGTCATGGCGGGGGACATCTCAAAATCTATTCCGGGAGACCTATCGGTTCCTCGTCCGTCGTAGTGTCATAGTCACGACTTAAAGGGATGACAAGCGGTGCCACAGTTGCCTGTTGTAAGCCATCCCGAGACCAGTAACCTTGTTCAATGACGTTAGCTACCTTGTTGACACAGTTTTGCCAAGTTTCAGTCATGATTTTGTTAAGGGATTCCTTAACCAAAACCTCTACATCACATAATCTAAAACTTGTGTTTGATCTGGCAGCATCTCCTTTGACAATACCCCATATCATTTCAATGGGGTTAAGGTCACAGTGATAGGGAGGAAGTCGCAGAATATCGTGACCCTTACTTTTTATGTAACTTTCAACTTTGTAGAAAGGTTCACCTTTGTGGGTTTTGATGATCTCACATAGCTGAGGCTTTGTTGCCTTTGAAGACCGTGCGATCTGAAATTTGTCGAGCCATGATATCATATCACCTTTTCGACTGTTCGATGTCGGGGCTTTACTGTCGGGGTCCTGCACGCTGTGGTATGGGGCATTGTCCATTACGATAAAAGACTTCTCTGGTAGAGCTGGTACCAACTTGTTTTTAACCCAATCGAGGAAAACCGCACCATTCATCTCGGAATGGTAGTCTCTGTTATCTGTGGCATTTGCCCTGAATACCAAGTCGCAGCCTGGGTGAAAGCCTTTGCTGGAGCAACCAGCATGGAGAATGATTAGTCTCTCTCCTTTCCGTAGAGGCAGCTTTCTACATGACCCCTTATCACCCCCATCGGGTACCCACTGACTGCTGGCAGTGTGCGAGGCATTGACCCAGGTCTCGTCCAAGTACAAGGCTCGAACCCTTCCTCGCGCTTCTTCTTTATAACCCTGAGAAAATTATTTCTCAAGCGAACGATATCAGGGCGTTCACAGAGTACTGACCAATTCTCCCCCGAAATTTTCTTATAACGATACCCGAAAGAGTGTAAGAGTCGCCAGAGCGTGTACTTTGATACTCTGAGGTTGTGTTCTTGCCTCAAATGCTTTTAAAAAAATTTCAGCGACATGTATTTGTTTTCAGAATAGAGCTTGTTGATAGACTGCCTTAGACGGTTCTTTTGAAAGTTGTCCAAATGTTTTAATTTGTGTGATTTTGACACGACCCCTACCTGCTTCGCATCACCCTCACAATGTTTGTGTTCCAGAACATTTGTCAGTACCCTTGCTGATACTCCTTAAGCTTTTGCTGCCCGCTTACGGAATTTATTAATGGCATAAAATGGTTTGCCCCTTTCGGCTTCAGCACGGAAAAAATCGTACACTTTAATCATCAACTGTTTCACGTCAGCATTCAACTTAGTTTTTCATCAGGCATGTGTATCCCGTGCACGACGAGATAGTGGCTGTTCCGTTTCTGCGGTTTCACCCCGCCGAGACAGATAACAACTTTTGCGTTTTCAATGATGATAGTTTCTTAAACAACTTTATTGGTGGAGTCCGGAAAATGTTCAAATATAAGAAAGTTGGTGGGTATTAGTAAATGATAAACATGTGTACTATTTATATTTCTGTGGCAATTTTGTACAATGATAAAATTTGCAATTCATCGGTCCGTTTCTGACTCAAACGGACTTTAGCATCGGAGTGGATTGGGGACATACACCTCCACTCCGATATTGAAATAACCCGCTTTCATTGATGCTGGAACGGTTGAACAAGCAAATGTCCTGAGATACGTGTTTGTATTTACAGCGATACCATCTTTCTTTATTGTGAAGCGTTTGACTGCTGTTATCGCCTGTTCCTTCAACTCCGCAGTGATTTCCTGCAGTGAAGTCAGACAGGCAACGAGCCCTCTCACGAACAATGCCTCGACAAGAGTTCAGTGTCTTGTGCACCGACACAGCAACCTCAACATTTGCAAATGTTTTGATCGATAACAAATTTAGAGATTGCTGCCTCCGTGCACACTCCACAAGAAGTGAACCAATACGGAGTCGGGCGACGTTGTTAACCTCACCACAAATCCCAGATACAGCCTTTGAAATAGCGAATGGATTAAGCTTGATCGGTAAAAAATCAGTCTAAGAATCATTGTTTGGAATAATGTTTCCACTTGAAGGATCCTAAATCCTCAAAACGCCTTTTCTTCTCACTACGAGATGAACCAGAATGTAATAGTGCCATGATGAAAGGAAATGATTCAACACCCCTGCTGCCCACCCACCATAGAGTGTCAACAAGGACAGGGTCGATTCGCACCGGATCTCCAGGATGCTAACACCAGGGATACAGGGGTGTCATACTCCAGCAAATATGACACGAATAGCTATATTTGTCTAATAGATCAGTTGTCAAGCTGGTTCGGCCCATAACAATAATCTAAAGACACATAGAATTCAGAGGTCAACATCACCAGATTGGCCCATGAGCCACCGCCTTCTGGCATAGGACTCTAGGCTATGTAACATAAGAATAATTTGTATATTGAGGATCAAACTATCCAAAGCCCCAAAATAAGAATATGTGCAAATAATATATTTACCATGCACAGGCCTTGGCGTGACCAGCCGATTGATAGAACCGGGCCAGTTCTACCACCCGTCTAGGTGAAGTAAGGGGCGAAGTGGTATGTTGGGCAAAAGGAACACGGTTCCAGGCTCCCAGTGCCCTCAACCACCAGCCTCCCGTCCTCCCCGACACAGGGGCGCAACCCACGGCAAACGGGTTGGTGGACCAAATATACCCCCGGGTCCACAACGGGGGTTGATGAGGGCTTAGCGTTACCCAGCACCCACCACGAGGAGGTGGCTCTTCACGGGTGCCAACTGAAGGTAGATCACCATACTAGAGTCCATGGTGACTTACAGTACATTTGGTTCCTGCATGGACCATAGCTTGATTTACACCATCCCTTCAGTTGTCAGCAATTGAGACACATCTAGCCATAAATTAAAAATACACATATGCTACGATTAAAAAAGTGGAAAGTTTAAATTTACTATGAATGTTTTGGGACTTACGTACCCTCCCAGGAGGACAATAATTGTACAGTACTTTAACCTCCTTCGAGGATACAGCCACTAACAATCTGAGTTACTAATTCAAACTTCCAATCATAAAATATTTATCTATCTACAAATCATTTAACAAATCTAATTCTTTTAAAAATGCAATAATTAAATGAGAACTAATGTTAGAAAAAAAGATCCTTCATAGTTCGTGATTTAAAATAGTTATCCCTTGTCATGGAATATTCAACACAGCCAAGCAAGACATGATCAAGCAGCTTGTGAGCAAGCGTCATGTTGGCTCATTCTCTGAATCTTATGATGTTTGATTAACTTTGCTCGCTAGTTTATATTCCCACCATTGATTCTCTAGCGTTTTTAATGTCAATCGTCGACATCTTTTAATACTCCAAATGTTTTCACTTTTTACAGTATAAATTGTTTTTGTCACGATATGGCTGAGGTATTGCCGATGTGACGTTACATATTAACTCACTCACATGAATGTTTGATACTTTCTTTTGGTTTTGCATTCTGCTTGTGTAGCCCGATGTCAATGGGAGTCTATGCAACCTGTTTAAGAGGCGACTAATGGGTTCGGGTGATCATTCTCTCAGACTTGGTTCATGGATGTCTTCGTATCCGTATTGCGTAGATCGATGCTCAGGGTGTCAATTACTGGAGTGTCTGGTCCAGTCTCACTTATTTACCTACTGCCGCCATATAGCTTGAAAATTGCAGAGTGTGGCGTTAGTCAATAACAACACCACAAAAAAGTGAAGGAACGATTTTCTTGACTATCTTGAGCCATTCATGAGCCTAAATGTTCATCTCCTCTCTATCAGTGACTGTGTAAAGTATGCCATCTGACAACTCACGACTTAGTATGTAGATGGTTCTTAATGGTTTGAAAGACAGATCTTTATGTCAAACTCATGTTGGAAGACAAAATTGGTATCCATTATGATTTCACAAGGGTCAATTCCAACAAACAGGCACACATATATGTTCCATATATCATCTATACATGCATATATACCATTAAAGCAACTAGGGGTATTCCATTTTGCGAGCATACTACTAGCCAATGCCAATGCATATGGGAAAACGTAATGTATATCCATACAGATGAAACATTTCCAAAGGAATAAAATAAATTGTCACATTTTCCCTTAATTTCTCTTCATCATCCGTCTCCTCTTTGGCTTCATCATTTGAATTTTATCAATCTCGTAAATCCAATATCCCCTACTTTATTAATGGTATATATCGTATGGCGTTCTGTAGTAGCGGTGGTGATTATTTTGCAGGATTGTGCGATTCCCGTGAAGATTGTATATTTGTCATCCACGCGGAGACACCTACCATCATTGAGGACAACTCGGGCAGGGAATATTGACAACCTGTAGGTCATGGCCAGTTCAGACCCGGACAGGGAAGCCCTGGGTGGTTCAGGCGAGGAAGATCCTACGGTCCATGGCGGTTCAGATCTACACGAGGAGGATCCTGGAAACCACTCGGCCATTGCCAGGCTGACTGATCGTGGACGTTTCTCTGAAGATCATTCGGCCATTGCCACGCCAAAGGAGTCAGCCTTTCGTGTCCAATCCAGGGCGTGGTACGTGTGCAGTTTTCTTCACTCTACCTTAGCGTCACATAGGTCTTACAAGCACTGTGTACTCCATTAATCATTCATTGCATTGCTATATATATTTGACAGTTGTACTATAGACTTTACGACACATGCTTTAGAGAACCTTGGTGTGTATAACAAATGAGAGGCTATTCCATGTACTTTCGAAGAACACCCGTGAAAATCCGGGTTAGAATTGATCTTCAGAAAACATGCTTGTCGTATGAGGCTACTAACGGGATCGGGTGGTCAGACTCGCTGACTTGGTTGACACATGCCATTGTATTCCAATTACGTCGATCGATGCTCATGCTGTTAATCACTGGATTGTCTGGTCCAGGCTCGATTATTTACAGACCACCGTCATATAGATAGAATATTGCTGAGTGCGGCGTGAAACGTAACTCACTCCAGTTCGAAGAAACCTTCGTAAGAGCCTACAAATATTCCAGATTTCATGATATGGAACACAGACTTATTGCAAATCCCAATAATTAGTAAATGCAAAATGGAGCCCACTATGACTTAACACGTTGCTTGGTATCAAACAGTCAGTAATCGTACAATATTTAAAGGGCACATATATAAATCTTTGTTTAACTTGTCATATAAGGTTAACACATTCTGCAAACTGAATGGAACATAAAACAGTGGGTATTCATTGGTGGTGTCAGAGACATTTATACAGAGACATTTGGCCTGATCAATGAGCAGACTTTACATGGCATCTTGCTGCTCTTGGTTATTGATTTGCACCAGTGACTTACAGGAAGAGACTGACATTAACGTGGTCCAGTTTGAAGCATACACTCAAATACTAATAAAACAACTGCAGCTCTCTTTATATTGTATCAATGAAGCTGGTTGTTGAACATTAGCATGGATTTGTTGCCAGGTGGTTCTGCCTCCGCTATCATTGTTTCCAACTCGAAGTACGTGAATATTTCCACTGGACAGACAGTTCCAGGACGGTCGGAGATGGTGAGTTAACAGCAGACCAAGCCAAGCCTTGATTACACACTTGCAAACTTTCAATGAAAATTCTTGACAAATAAATGTTAAAACAATCAAAATACCCAGATGGGACTCAGGTAGAATATGTGCCTCGGCATGCTATTACTAGTCATAGAGGCAGACCCATGAGAAACTGTGAAACCGTCCATATTGAATGAATCAGAACTTCATCCTATGCATTCTGTAAGAGGCAGTTAAATGGTTGTGCTCATTTCGACTTGCTTGACAGCGTTGTTTGTAACACATCACAAGTATTTACTTACAGACTGTCGTTATACAGCTTGACTATTTTTAACTGTGACATTAAACATCCCGCACAAAGAGATTTGTCAAAGCATCTGTATAACTCTGGTGCTAAGGGTATCTCAAATACCACTTATGTTTTGCAATCAGAACATAGTAGTAAAAGACAAAATGCAAAATATTTCGATTTCGATGCAAAGTTACGAAATAAGCATTTTGATAAAAGATCCAGAAAATGACTATTTGACAACCTTTTCTTATCATACATTGATATTCATGATGTTTTGCGCATAAATTAGACGGCGCTATTTTGCACTCATCACGTCACAATCTTAAGTAGGCAACTCTGGCCTGATTAGGGTGAAATTTTATGTGTATTTTAGTTTACATTAATTACCCATGTTAACGAATTCAACGTCAGAATATTTAATCACGTCGATGTGTCCTAAGCACAACACATGTATGTTTATACAATGTCGTATTTGTCCACAGGTACTCTCGCACTTCTTCTAAATGAAGCCAAGAAAACATTTGTTGAAACAGATGTCTACAGACAGGTGAAGCGTAAACTTGAAACGTTTGGTTACGTGACAATCTGTGGTGCCTCGGGAGAAGGGAAGACCACAATGGCTCTGATATTGAGTTCACAGTACAGAAACCGAGGTTACCAGGTCGTGTTTGTGGAAAGCATTGACAAGTTTGATTTGGACAGCTGCCTCAGTTCTACTCCAAGAGTGCTTCTCATCATCGATGACATGTTTGGTACTGTAGGCTTGTCCACTGATGTGCTACTGATTAAATCATTTCTTAAAAATCTATATCTGCATTTGGAACACTGCAAGGAGGTCTTAAAACAAATTATGTCGGTTAGGAGAGAGGAAAGAAAACACAAACAGGATGATGAAAGAAAGCGTCAAAGGCAGGATATTCGTGTCATATTCACAACAAAGTCATACAACTTTCATGATGGACTTGCACAACTGCACTTTGTTTGTTTTCCTCTGTTTGAGGAACAAGCAGTGATGAATATAACCTTACACAGTCTTTCCGCAGCAGAGGAACAGGAAATATACGAGAGACATAAGAACATACGAGATGACTGTTCCAAAGGTAATCTACCCGAATACAGTGATTTGGAAATACCTTCAAAATTATTTGGATTCCCGCTCATATGTAAACTTTGTACTTTTTCAAACAATCCCAGAAAACTTTTCAAAGAACCATTGTCTTATTTGAGGGAGGAACTCACTGACATAATTGGTGCTATGAATGATCGATCTGCAGTGTTTGTCCTGATGTTACTTTGTGAAGGCAGATTACAATTGACAAAGTTAGAAAGTTATGATGCAGACCAGGAGTTGGATGAGAAAGTTAACATTGTGATACGTCTAATACCTACAGCTACACGCTCGGGGATGTGTCAAGCAGCACGTTGTTTCAGAGGAACATTTTTCACAAGAGGAGACACAGTTGGCTTTGCTCATTCTTCAATCTATGATGCATGTGCATGTGTTGTATATAATAGCATCAATCCAAGCTTTGTTTTGAAGAACTGCAGTGATGCCTTTCTGTATGAGCGAGTACACCAAGAAACCGTCAGAGAAACCAAAGTTGATGATAATCTTCATTTGATTTCCATTTCCGAAGAGTATTATGATCTTCTGTCCACACGGTTTGCAAATGCTATTAAGCAAGGAAAGTTTTCAAAGTCAGTAACACATCCAATCCTTAAGCACAGCAAACTAGCTGAACAACTTCTTGAAAGACTGACATTTGGTGAGACGAAACACAACACAAATGATTCAGTGGACCATGCATGGATTCACCAAAGAGAAAAAGGAAAGTGTTTCTTGTATTGGGCTGTTCTGGGACATAATCCACAGTTGGTTACACATGTGGAGACTCAAACTGGAGACGTGTTCACAGATGACGAGATCACAGAAGCTCTTGAATGTTGTGCTCAAATGGACAAGGTGACGTTACTGAAATGGCTACTCTTAAAGATTGATGGACATGATCAGACTGATAGACTGAATAGGCTGCTGTTTTCTGCAGCAGAAAATGGCAGTACTGAAACACTTTTGTATCTGCTGAAAGCTGGAGCGAGTCTCCATACCTCTGACTCCAGGATGCAAAACATTTTCCATTTGGTGTGTAAATCACAACACGAAGACACTCTTCGGGCACTGTTAAATACACAGGCAAATACAGATATTTTCAACAGGGTTGATGTGAATGGCTACACTCCTCTACTGGTTGCAGCAAAGACAGGATCAGAGGAGTGTTTCAAACAGCTGGTATCGATATCAAATATGGATGTTCAGGACATAAAGGGTAATAGTGTTTTACACCTTGCTTGTGAAGGAGGAAACATTGCCATTGTTAGGCAATTGCTACCTTCAGTCAGCATTGACAAAAGAGGCATGCATGGCCGGACACCAATCATGTTGGCAGCACTCATGGGACACAAAAAGGTGTTTGACTTCCTGGAATCAAAGGGAGCGGACCTGTCTATGCTTGATACATTTGGTGGTAACTTATTTCATGTTGCTTGTTTTGGAGGCAATATGGGTATAATTCAGTATTTGCTGGCAGGTTCTAATGTGAACCATCGAGGCATACAAGGATGGACACCAATAATGGCTGCAGCTCTCAAAGGACACAAAAGTGTGTTTGACCTCCTCGAATCAAAGGGGGCAGAGACCACTCTGCTTGATACATTTGGTGATAGTGTACTTCACGTTGCCTGTCAGGGAGGCAGCATGGCTTTGGTTGAACATCTGTTTTCAGATTATAATATCAACCACAGAGGCTTTTGTGGAAGGACACCAATCATGGCTGCAGCCCTTAGTGGAAGCAAAAGTGTGTTTGACTTCCTGGAATCAAAGGGTGCAGACCTCACTCTGCTTGATAACTCTGGTGACAGTGTACTTCACCTTGCCTGTCTTGGAGGCAACATGGCCTTGGTTGAACATTTGTTTTCAGATTCTAATATCAACCTCAAAGGCGATATTGGAATAACACCAATCATGGCTGCAGCTTCCTTTGGACGCAAAAGTGTGTTTGACTTCCTCGAATCAAAGGGGGCAGACTCCACTTTGCTTAATACATTTGGTGATAGTGTACTTCACCTTGCCTGCCGGGGAGGCAACATGGCTTTGGTTGAACATCTGTTTTCAGATTCTAATATCAACCTCAAAGGCGGTAATGGAAGGACACCAATAATGGCTGCAGCTTCCTGTGGACGCAAAAGTGTGTTTGACTTCCTGGAATCTAAGGGTGCAGACCTCACTTTGCTTGATACATTTGGTGATAGTGTATTTCACCTTGCCTGTCAGGGAGGCAACATGGCTTTGGTTGAACATTTGTTTTCAGATTCTAATATCAACCTCAAAGGCGGTAATGGAAGGACACCAATCATGACTGCAGCTTTCTTTGGACGCAAAAGTGTGTTTGACTTCCTGGAATCAAAGGGGGCAGACCCCACTTTGCTTGATACATTTGGTGATAATGTACTTCAACGTGCCTGTCAGGGAGGCAACATGGCTTTGGTTGAACATCTGTTTTCAGATTCTAATATCAACCTCAGAGGCTTTTGTGGAAGGACACCAATCATGGCTGCAGCTTCCAATGGACGCAAAGACGTGTTTGACTTCCTGGAATCAAAGGGGGCAGAGACCACTCTGCTTGATACATTTAGTGATAGTGTACTTCACCTTGCCTGTCGGGCAGGAAACATGGCTTTGGTTGAACATCTGATTTCAGATTCTAATATCAACCTCAGAGGCTTTTGTGGAAGGACACCAATCATGGCTGCAGCTTCCAATGGACGCAAAGACGTGTTTGACTTCCTCGAATCAAAGGGGGCAGAGACCAATCTGCTTGATACATTTGGTGATAGTGTACTTCACCTTGCCTGTCGGGGAGGAAACATGGCTTTGATTGAACATCTGATTTCAGATTCTAATATCAATCTCAAAGGCAAACTGGGAAGGACACCTATCATGGCTGCAGCTTCCTGTGGACGCAAAAGTGTGTTTGACTTCCTGGAATCAAAGGGGGCAGAACCACTCTGCTTGATACATTTGGTGATAGTGTACTTCACCTTGCCTCAGGGAGGGAAACATGGCTTTGGTTGAACATCTGGTTTCAGATTCTAATATCAACCTCAGAGGCGGTAATGGAAGGACACCAATCATGGCTGCAGCTTTCAATGGACACAAAAGTGTGTTTGACTTCCTGCTGAATCAAATTTGGGGGCAGAGACCACTCATGCTTGATACATTTGGTGATAGTGTACTTCACCTTGCCTGCTTTCAGGGAGGCAAAATGTGTTTGGTTAACATCTGCTTGATACATTTGGTGATAGTGTACTTCATCTTGCCTGTCAGATTGAACATCTGCTGTCAGATTCTAATATCAACCTCAAAGGCGGTAATGGAAGGACACCAATCATGGCTGCAGCTTTTAGTGGACACAAAAGCGTGTTTGACTTCCTGGAATCAAAGGGGGTAGACCTCACTCTGCTTGATACATTTGGTGATAGTGTACTTCATCTTGCCTGTCAGGGAGGCAACATGGCTTTGGTTGAACATCTGCTGTCAGATTCTAATATCAACCTCAAAGGCAAACTATGGGAATGACACCAATCATGGCTGCAGCTCTCAAAGGACACAAAAGCGTGTTTGATTTCGTAGAATCAAAGGGTGCTGACCTCACTCTGCTTGATACATTTGGTGATAGTGTACTTCACCTTGCCTGTCAGGGAGGAAACATGGCTTTGGTTGAACATCTGTTTTCAGATTCTAATATCAACCTTAAAGGCAAAATGGGAATGACACCAATCATGGCTGCAGCTTTCAATGCACACAACAGTGTGTTTGACTTCCTGGAATCAAAGGGGGCAGAGACCACTCTGCTTGATACATTTGGTGATAGTGTACTTCACCTTGCCTGTCAGGGAGGAAACATGGCTTTGGTTGAACATCTGTTTTCAGATTCTAATATCAACCTCAAAGGCAAACTGGGAAGGACACCAATCATGGCTGCAGCTTTCAATGGACACAAAAGTGTGTTTGACTTCCTCGAATCAAAGGGGGCAGAGACCACTCTGCTTGATACATTTGGTGATAGTGTACTTCACCTTGCCTGTCAGGGAGGAAACATGGCTTTGGTTGAACATCTGTTTTCAGATTCTAATATCAACCTCAAAGGCGGTAATGGAAGGACACCAATCATGGCTGCAGCTCTCAAAGGACACAAGAGTGTGTTTGACTTCCTGGAATCAAAGGGGGCAGAGACCACTCTGCTTGATACATTTGGTGATAGTGTACTTCACCTTGCCTGTCAGGGAGGCAGCATGGCTTTGGTTGAACATTTGTTTTCAGATTCTAATATCAACCTCAAAGGCAAACTGGGAATGACACCAATCATGGCTGCAGCTTTCAATGGACATAAAAGTGTGATTGACTTCCTGGAATCAAAGGGGGCAGAGACCACTCTGCTTGATACATTTGGTTATAGTGTACTTCACTTTGCTTGTCAGGGAGGAAACATGGCTTTGGTTGAACATCTGCTTTCAGATTCTAATATCAACCTCAAAGGCGGTAATGGAAGGACACCAATCATGGTTGCAGCTTTTAAAGGACACAAGAGTGTGTTTGACCTCCTGGAATCAAAGGGGGCAGAGACCACTCTGCTTGATACATTTGGTGATAGTGTACTTCACCTTGCCTGCCAGGGAGGCAACATGGCTTTGGTTGAACATCTGTTTTCAGATTCTAATATCAACCTCAAAGGCAAACTGGGAATGACACCAATAATGGCTGCAGCTTTCAATGGACACAAAAGCGTGTTTGACTTCCTGGAATCAAAGGGGGCAGAGACCACTCTGCTTGATACATTTGGTGATAGTGTACTTCACCTTGCCTGTCAGGGAGGCAGCATGGCTTTGGTTGAACATCTGATTTCAGATTCTAATATCAACCTCAAAGGCGGTAATGGAAGGACACCAATCATGGCTGCAGCTCTCAAAGGACACAAAAGTGTGTTTGACCTCCTCGAATCAAAGAGGGCAGAGACCACTCTGCTTGATACATTTGGTGATAGTGTACTTCACCTTGCCTGTCAGGGAGGAAACTTGGCTTTGGTTGAACATCTGTTTTCAGATTGTAATATCAACCTCAAAGGCGGTAATGGAAGGACACCAATCATGGCTGCAGCTTTCAATGGACACAAAAGTGTGTTTGACTTCCTCGAATCAAAGGGGGCAGAGACCACTCTGCTTGATACATTTGGTGATAGTGTACTTCACCTTGCCTGTCAGGGAGGAAACTTGGCTTTGGTTGAACATCTGTTTTCAGATTCTAATATCAACCTCAAAGGCGGTAATGGAAGGACACCAATCATGGCTGCAGCTTTCAAAGGACACAAGAGTGTGTTTGACTTCCTGGAATCAAAGGGGGCAGAGACCACTCTGCTTGATACATTTGGTGATAGTGTACTTCACCTTGCCTGTCTTGGAGGCAACATGGCTTTGGTTGAACATTTGTTTTCAGATTCTAATATCAACCTCAAAGGCAAACTGGGAATGACACCAATCATGGCTGCAGCTTTCAATGGACACAAAAGTGTGTTTGACTTCCTCGAATCAAAGGGGGCAGAGACCACTCTGCTTGATACATTTGGTGATAGTGTACTTCACCTTGCCTGTCAGGGAGGCAACATGGCTTTGGTTGAACATCTGTTTTCAGATTCTAATATCAACCTCAAAGGCGGTAATGGAAGGACACCAATCATTGTTGCAGCTCTCAATGGACACAAAGGAGTGTTTGACTTCCTGGAATCAAAGGGTGCAGACCTCACTCTGCTTGATACATTTGGTGATAATTTGATTAATTGTGCACGTTAATGAGGGGACATGGTTATTGTACAACATCTTGTGTAAGATTACGTGTTGAATAGAAACTGAAAGTTGCTGTCTTACCAACAAAGAGAGAAACAATCTGTAGATGAGGCAAAATACATTCTACACGAGTAGCATAAGCATTTAATGTTGATTGGAACTTTCTGGAAAACAAACTTTAGTGTAGTGTGTAACCATTGTATAAAGATTTTATGAATATACGTTCTGAGCCTGTTCCACTAGCAGTGTTATAATTATGTACAAAAGAAGTGTTATGACACAACCACCTACATATGGATTAAGGTACCTGGTGTTAAATTAACTATGTTATCACAAAAACTATCATGGATAAAAAGGCTGTATAGTATGTCATATTGGGTCAAACATGCTGGAATTTTCATCTCAGGAATAAATACTATCTGGTTGGCGGATTATTTATATATGAACACTATTCTAGTGCCATACATTACACATATTTTCGGGAGGGATGTTGTTTCAGCATGGGGTTTGTATCTATCCAAATGCTATGATAAGATAACTAATATTTCTGATGTAAAGACTCAATCATTATGGTACAACTCTATTATCTCTGGCAAATTGGTAGAATATAGTCACTGGATAGGAAAGGGTAGATGTTTTATTAAGGATATGTTTAATGAAAATGGTGAAATTTATTCTTTCAACAAACTTGTAGAACCATACAGTTTAGATACAAATTTTATCTAATATCAAGGGATCAAGTCAACAGTAGTGAGATATATCAAAAGAAGTTTAATTAATGATTACCAAGAAAGGATATATGACCCTACTCTCCCATTTAATGTATACAACATAATCAATATAAAAAAGGGTAGTAAAGTGTTTTATCAGGTTTTATTTGCTCCAGAATTCAGGACAGATGCACAAGAAAAACGCCAAAAGTGTTTGAATAGAAAAATTGATAGATCAGAACAAGAAAATAATAATCTGATGTCTTATAGATGTACTGAGAGTGTGAACATGAGATGGTTCAAATTTAAAATAATTTTTTAGCAACAAATAGCTTTTTGTACATGATAGGAATATCATTCTGTGGACAAGAACCAGAGACCATGATACACCTGCTGTTTGAATGCTTTTATGTGAAAATGATATGGCTTAAAACTGCTTCGGGAGGTGAAGTTAATTTTTTTACTGGAGAATATTTTATTTGGATTCAAAGCCAGACACAATAATCCACTGAATGCTGTAATTTTGGTGGAAAAAGAAGCTATTTACAGAAAAAGCAGAAAAAAGCAAACTCTGAATATTAGATATATTAAAGCAGAAATAACTAAATATTATGAAGAAACAAAAAATGACAGTTTTTTCTAATTGCATTTATGCCAAATTCTTCAGCTTCTGGTCCTCCTTCCAAACTTTATTTGCCAATAATTAAACTTTTATCAGCAGACTTGTGCAGCATGCAACACTTCCTATACACGATTAGTTTGACCACTTTACATATCTGTGAACAGCGTGATATTTGACAATGTGATCAAAGAAACACTGTACTTGCGTAGTATAAAGCTACCTATACTGTACTTATGTACTATGAAGCTACCTATACTGTACTTATGTACTATGAGCTACCTATACTGTACTTACGTACTATGAAGCTACCTATACTGTACTTATGTACTATGAACATACCTATACTATACTTATGTACTTTGAAACTACCTACACTGTACTTATGTACTATGGATCTACCTATACTGTACTTATGTACTATGAAGCTACCTATACTGTACTTATGTACTATGAATCTACCTATACTGTACTTATGTACTTTGAAACTACCTATACTGTACTTATTGATATGAAACTACCTATACTGTACTTATGTACTATGAAACACCTATACTGTACTTACGCATTATCAAGTTACCTGGAAACCATTCTCTACGTAACCATATGTTAAGCGCGCAGGATAGGATCTGAGAGACAAGAAACAAACGCGTACTATTTGGTGCGCAAAATGTGTCTTACGGGAAATATCTTCCGATTTCACAAACTTCTGATGTCACCGCTGATATTGTATGATCAACTTTACCTTTTACGACTGATGGAGTTATCTACGGTAGCCCAGACTGATTATTCTCTGGTGCTGACGTTATATATTTCATTTGTTATTACAATTACTACCAACCTGTGCTTGATGCAGGAGATAGCTCACGAAAACAAGGTTGAGAGTGGAGACCTGGATTTGGTGGTGGACATGCCAACTTGAGAGACTTGAAGCCGACAGCGTGTGGTGGACACCGACTTTGTGTTTCAGTGAATGTGTTCATATTGTTTTTACTGAACTGTTGGTGGAGATGAGCATGTGTTCTTCCAGAGACTGTGTAGCTTATGTTGCATATAAGTGAATGTTGTCAACATGTTTTTGCTCAGAGGCCATATTCCGATATATGGTCACGGGTTTACTAAAAAAATGCTGAATTTTGTTGAATGCTTACAAAGTATATCAGTAAAGTGATATTGCGTCTAAGTGAAGGCTTTCAAAGGGTATTTACTGGTCTGATGTTTTAGTGATAGGATGCCGCTTGGAATGTATTTCTGTTAAGACAAAACTATTGAGTTTTTATTTATGTAGTCTAATTGTTATACATTGTGATCTGTACTTTTTCAGAAATGGGTTGTAACTTGTTTTACAGTATGCTATCTTTGCATAAATAAATAGATTTAAAATGTTGTTTGTATTTTCTAAGCATCGAACTCTCAGATCTTAGATTTCATTTGTGACACAATTTGTATAATGTTATATACTCTTAAAAAAAAGAAAGGAAAAAAGAAGTTTAGGAGCAGAACCTTATACTTAACACAAACAAAGAAAACACGTGTTCCTTGCAATTCTCCTTGCATGCTGGTAGAGAGTTATTCTAGATTTTAGACGTCGGTACCCAGCAAGAGGTAGCCAATATATTTAACATGTGTCAGTCTGTGATTTGTAGACTTTTTCACACATTTCTTCAGACAAAAATGTTCTTGAATAGGCCTGCTCAGTTACTGTTAGGCCTGCAATACAGGGTCAGCATAGATTTACTAAAAACGAGGGTGTAAAGGGACAGTACGTCGACGGTTCTGTGCAAAGAGCATCAAAACCTACATATTTTGTCCGTCTGTTAATGTTTTTGAAAAATGTGTACTAATCTCAAAGCCTTGATTCCAATATCAATATGCCTCCATTATATGAAGCCAATCACCCTCCTACCCAGATGTCTTTGTGCCGCGGTCACAACGTCACGTCTTTAAATTCAATTCAAGTGTTATTCGTTTCATTTTGGACGACAAACACATGCTATGATATTTGTACCATTCTTTAGAAAGTAACAAGTAAATAGAGGAAAATGGAAGAGCAATCTCCTCATTGTGAGATCTGGGTAACGCTAATTGCTCTTTCCCGTGTTGGCAGAATATTTAGGTCCTCAACACCAACATTGCTGCTCGTTAAAGGTGACCGAATTGGGCAACCTGTGTACCATGGGTTGCGTCCCTGTGTCGGTGGAGGACGGGATTCTGGTCGTTGAGGGCACTGGTTCCACGTACAGTGTTCCTTTGCCCAATAGACCACTTCGACCCTTACTTCATCCAGACGTGGATTTTTCATTTGCATAGAGTTTTATGCGCTGGAGGCGATGGCTCAAAGGCCAATCTGGTGGCACATTATCTGTAATGCACTGCTTGAGTGTACCCTCCTGGGTTGCTTGGTGCCCCCCTTTTGGAGACCCACAGGCATTTGACATCGTCTTTGTTGACACTCCATGGTGGGTTTCGAGCCAGGAGGGTGGAACTATAGTAACATGGCTGCTCAAAAATGCAAAGACGTTACCATGCGATCAACAGCCGATTTTTACATTGTATTGTCCAAAAATAGTTTTCTATATATAAAGATATAGCTAGTTTTAACTCATTTTGTGATAATCTAGTAATTGTACTGTACTTCATAGATAGGGTTTTATATATTATATGTATGTAATATGAATTTAGAACTAGTTTTAGTCACGATATGGCTGAAATATTGCCTATGTTACTTAAAATCTTAACCATTTACCATTCTTTAGAAAGTAACAAGTAAGTAGAGGAAAATGGAAGAGCAGCCTCGCGTGGGCAGAATAGGTCCTCAACACCAACATTGCTGCTCGTTAAAGGCGACCGAATTAGGCCACCTGTTGCCGTGGGTTTCGTCCCAGTGTCGGTAGAGGACGGGATTCTGGTCGTTGAGGGCACTGGTTCCACGAACAGTGTTCCTTTCCCAATAGACCACTTCGACCCTTACTTTACTCAGACGTGGATAATTAATTTGCCTAGAGTTTTATGCCCTGGAGGCAATGGATGAAAGGCCAATCTGATGTTAGCATGCAGATGATACTAATGGTGAGAAGGATTCTATTACCAGGCTGTGCTATTCTGAACGTAACTCTTAGCCTAGACTCAATGTTGCCGAATCAAGTGAGACCAAAGTAACGTTCTCCCTTTCTATTAGAAAAGCTTTTCAAGGAATTGCTGGAACTGACAAGAATGTAATACCAAAACCTCAATTCTAATAGAATGTGTCAAGATAGAGTAAGCGGTTAATCTTGTGGAAACAAAATCCTTTGCAAATGTTTCTGTAAAAGGTTATCCTCAAAAGTCTGTGTACATGAGCAAAACAATCATCCGTGACAGAGATACGAGGCTTCCTGATCTCTCTACCGATGACATTGTCAGTCAGCTACCTGTGCAAGGAGTGGTCGAATCTACGCTTTTCAACTTTAGAAGAACGGAATGTATACACTTTCGAACACTTACCTGATAACATTTGATGTGCCAAATTTGCCTAAATCAATAAAAGTAGGATGTTTCTGTATGAAAATTGACATTTATGTTCTTCTTTGAAGACAGATCATGTTAGATGCTTTAATCGCCATAAATTTGGCCATGGACAAAACACATGCAAACTTCATGCGTCTTGTTATCGTTGTGTTGGCAAATATCCGGAAACAAATCATACAGTACCTGTGCATCTGAATTAAGATGTGTGAATTGTTCTTGTTCACAAAACACATAAGTCAACATATGCTGAAGCGATGAAACCGTCAAAAAAATCCAATGAAGGTCAAACTGACTTGACCAGGGTGATATGGACAGACACCTTTACTCCTGCAACCCCTAAATCTTCATCACCAGCAACATCGAAATCATCTACACTAGTTGTTAAAAAGAAAAATTAATTGTTGACTACTCAAAAGGCAAATTCAAAGTGACTGTATTCCTAAAGGACAAAGAGACCCTGTGTCAATTTTAGACAGGACCTTTTAGATGACATAAAAGTGTTGTCCAAACGAAACACTCGCTCCAAGAGCCATTCTCCTAAGAAGAAAGGTAGGTAGGTTTCCCCAATTGAACACCCTGAATGACCGATACACTAATACAGTGAAATTGTCGAGGAATTAGAGCGAATATTGAGGAAATCAGTCTATTAGTAAACGATTATAATCATGTTTTAAGGGATGATAATTTATTCAGTCTAATCCAGTATGCTAACCTTCATTCGTGTGCACGATTACCTATTGTAAGGCCTCCTGTGACTCAAGTACATAAGTTAAACAGGGAACACTTCACTACCTTACAATCTGTGGCAGTAAGGATAAATTTGCCTATTGCAATAGTTTGTTTGCACTGAAAACGTACCGATGATTTTCACTTTAAACAAAAAAGTAAATCGAATCAAGTGAAATTAAGACTGCGAATCCTCATAATTTTACCTTGCCAATTGAACATTGAAATCTCAGAATATTATTCAACTTCGGATAAAAATTGTTTAACAAACAATCATATTTCCAAATCGCTATTATTGGTTTGTATTACGAGGGGGGTATGCACATTAAATGAAACACCGAGAACAAGAAGGGTTGGTCTACGTTAATGCTCATCACGCACCGCACGTGCTTTGTTTCACTGTTCCAACTACTGTGCTTACCCCCTTGCAATACAAGCCAATAATAGCGATTTGAATCTATGGAAAACCATGGAAGGAAAAATCAACCGACGTGTTGTCTGGTATCTGGAATCCAAAATCTGATAACTGATATTCAGTTTTAGGCATCCGAGAAGCACCATTGATCATCTCCGTTAGAAACGATTCATCTGTACCCAATAGCTTTATAAATAATCAACCAGTTGTTTTATTTATTGTTTGTGTGTGTGTGTGGAGAAGGAATATGATACACCATGGCTATATGGCATTTTGAAAGACCTCCACAATACGGCCCTTCATGGTCGTATACCTGATTTTATCACACGAGTTTTAGAAGATCGAATATTTAAAGTTTGGGTGAGCTCAACATCATCTGAAATATATGATAAGGAAATGAGTGTCCAACTCGGCAGGATCTTGTCGGTAACACTGTTTGGCATTAAGATCAACAGCCTTGCTAATGTTGTGAACAAAATATCGATGGCTCATCATTTGTTGATAAGTTTAATGTGTCATGCCATGGTGAAAAGATAAATACAATTGAGAGACAATTACAAATGTGATTCAATAAAAGGCACTTATAGTGTCTCTAAAAAACGATTTTATGTTAATTAACTTTGAATATGTCAGTATTACACCAGTGCAGGTTGTCACAGAAACAAAGTTTTTTAAGAATAACTTTTGATAAAAACTGTCTGCATACTTAATAGCCTCATATTAAAAAAACTTAAAACAAGGTGGGGGCCACATATACCACATGTGCATGTTCTGGGGCAGAACTGAAGTCCTAGAAAGGCTCAGGAGTCAGCTGCTAAACATGGTCACCCATCCAAGAACTCTACACGCCCAACGTTGCTTATCTTCATCAGATTGTGACCTGAGCTATACGCACAGGACCACACACCACCACACCACGGTAAAACCAAAGCAATTATTAAGAGTGTTTTGTTTGTGTGGGATGGGCGTGTCCTATGTATCCCAAACATCTTCGTAGAGACCAAGAACTGTACATTGCCTATCCTGCACATATGTGTGAATGATCTCTGTATGAAAAGTGTAAATGATTTTGACTTTCGGTGAAAACCAAACAGCTTGGCCAGGGTTCTGTGATTCTGTGAGCTGACAAAATCTTTTACCAAACTATGCTGCCGTAAGTATACTAGCGCCATATGTTCTGAGATATGAATCGATTGGTACGTTCAAATTATTCAAAGAAGCTTTCCAAGCTATGCTTAGAAAATAGTGAATAATCCAGAAATGACTTGCTCAGTTCAAATGTTCAAATGTCTACGAAAACTATCAGAATTTACATGTCTTCTTTTGAAAACAGACTTGAAATCACGATGTG